GAATCCGGTGAGTTAAAAGCTGATTGTAAGACACGCATGTATGTTTTGTAAGCTCAGAATATGTGAGACTAAACTATATTCCTAATATTTCATTTAATAAAAGATGAATCGTGGTCCTTTTAATACAATACTAGCTTTAAAATATGCGATTTAATTACCTTATTAGTACCGCCCCTTGTTTCAAAACTACGGAATTAAAAAGTGCCAATTGAGAAAAAAATATACTGATGGTCACCAACGAAAGTTGCCTCATGACGGATAAACATCAAACCTAACATGAGTGACCAGAATCATATGAACGCATAAACCACGTGACCTGAAGTCATAAACAAGTATTTCTGTTTACTCTTATTCGGTTTTTTACACGGGTGTTGTGTATCCCAAGTGTTAGGGGAAGTAGAAACAATTTATTTGTTTAGGAAATAGTTGAAAAACAAAGAATAAACGCTGTTAATTTGACAATTTGTGGGACATATCAAGCAATGCATCATTTCCAGTTTTACACTTCCCATGAGGAGAGGGCTTGGCATGGTCTGATGGTTAGGCTACCTAACTCGCAATCTGAAGATCGTGGGTTCGAATCCTCGTCACCGAACATGCTCGCCCTTTCAGCCGTGTGGATGCTATAATTTGACGATTAATTCCACTATTCGTTTGGAAAAGATTAGCCAAAGAGTTGGAGGTGGGTGATGTTGACTAGCTGCCTTCCCCCTAGCCTATCACTGCTAAATTAAGGACGGCTAGCGCGGATAGCTCTCGTGTAGCTTTGCGCGAAATTCAAAACAAACCAAACCCACGAGGAGTTGGGGAAAATGAGAAACACTACAAATTATTTAGTCAGTTGATTAATAGCTATTGATTATTTTTATTGGTTAGATAAAACAACGTACAAATTAGCTGTCTAACAACTATACATACTCGTGGTCAAAAGCATGAAAACTTCATCAGGTTTCATGTAATTTGATATACCAAATTCCTTTGATTAAAACGCCTATTTTACCATCATGTTACAATCTATAAAGGTGATGGCCTGGTGGTTAGGGTACTCGATTCGTAATGTGTGGATCCAGGGTTTGAATCCCCGTCACCGAACATGCTCGTTCTTTCAACCGTGATTGCGTTATAAGCTATTGTCAATCCCACTATTCATTGGTAAAGAGTAGCCCGAGAGTTGGCGGTGGGTGGCGCTGACTAATCTGCCTACCCTCTAGTGTATCACATCTAAATTAGAAACGAGTAGCGCAGATAGTTCTCCAGTAACTTTGCGCGAAATTCAAACAAACTTAAACTTGTTGTTTCGGAAATTCGAACAATGTTACTACGTAAGGGATAGCTATCCCTAATTTTCAACTGATAAACATCAGGGAAGGTAGTTAGTCAACTTTGTTTTGGCTACTCTAATCGAATACAGGTATTTGACCTTAGCGTTTATGACACAAGCTAACACGCGGAGCTCGCTTTTAGCGGCAACGAGACATGAGCCATGTACCCTCGGATTAAAAGTCCAGCACGTTAAACACTAAACCATGTCCAGCCTATGTCCAAGGTAATTAAACAAAACGACAAAGAAAACTATATTTGAAAAAAATATTAATCTGCTTTTTCATGATTACAACTTTAATTTCTATACTCTTGTTTGTAGTAAAGCACAAAGATACACAATGGGTTATCTGTGCTGTGCTCACCAAGGGTGTTCGTCGAAACCCGGTTTTAAACGTTATGAGTCAGCAGGCTAGCCGCTGTGCCACTGGATGGTTCAATATGCAATAAAATATATTTTCAATGCATATTGCTATAATCTCATTTATCATAAATGTATTAATATAAAAGCCCCCTTCACATACACACACACACACACACACACTGGCTCAACGGTAAAATTGAAGGAGCTATAACGATAAAAACCGAATTTCGATACCCGTGGTGGGGGCACAATACATAGCCCATTCTGTTGCTTTGTACTTTAAAATAAAAGTGATAAAAAATATAAACATGTATAGTTTGTACTTACATCAAGAATACATGGCGCCGTCCCTAAATTGACCTACCGACCATAGGGAAGGCAGTCAGTTAGTTAACAGCATCCTACCACTATTATTAATTATTACTCTTATAACTCACTTACAGCTTAAAGTGCGGAGGAATATTTAGAGGTATCACAAGGAATCGAACCTCCCCAGCTTCAAATCCTGAACCTACCCCAGAGCCATCCCTTCCCTTGTAGTTTGTTGAATTTCGCGCAAAGTTACTGGAGGACTATCTGCGCTAGCCGTCCCTAATTCAGCAGTGAAAGTCTAGAGGGAAGACAGCTAGTCATCACCACCCACCGCCAACTCTTGGGCTAATCTTTTACCACCGAATAGTGGGATTGACCGTCACTTTATAACGTCTTCACTGCTGAAAGGGCGAGCATGTTTGGTGGGACGGGGATTCGAACCCGCGACCCGCACAGTGCGAGTCGAGTTCACTAACCACCTGGTCATGCCTGCCCCGAAGCAACAAACATTTTATAAATGGACGTTTTTTTTCTTTCCAGTCCTGTGGAGTAGGCTTAATAACGATCGTGTATTAAGACTAACAGACTTTGTATATTGCGCATGAAAGACTAAGCCTATCTTAAGCCTTGAGTACCTGCGAGTAACAATAGCTCGCAAACAATTAAGTTTCCAATAAGATTTTTAAATTCCTCTTGTGACTTGACATGGAAAGAAATAAAGAATTAAATGTTTATTCGAAATTTGTGTTAGTAAAAGTTTCTTCCCTACTGACAGTGGCTTGAACTAGCGTGGGGAATTAAGTTCATGTAAAAAATAGAGCGAGTACTTACGAATTAATCTTCTGCGTTTTCGGAGCTCTTTGAGAAACTATTAGTATGTGGACTCACGTGACGTGAAGTCATAAACGAACATTTTCTATGTATTCTTAGTCAATTTACTGCTCAAGAGGTTTCTTTTATCGCCCAACTCTTGGTACAATAGTTACAAGGTAATAAGAATTTATTGTATAGTTTTAGTATAGTATGTTTGATCTGTTAACTACGTCATAAGTAAATACGACTTTGTGAAAGATCATTTGAAGACAAAGTAAAAAAAATGGGGGATATCATTAGAAGATAAATGACGACAAAGAAAGATTTCTGTATCTCATTCAAACGTTTCGAAATATTTGGTCGGTGTGGGCGTAGCTAGGGGAATAAAAAACAAAATAGAAATATAAGGTTAATCGGTTGAAATAGGAGAATAAATAAAGAATTCCTGCTATTTCTGACTTATGTCTTTCAACAACACAGGCCTGCGAATTTATACTTCATCAACGTTATTTTGGTTTTAATAACGGATTTTCCATAATTCAGCTACGCAGATTTCCAAAATAATATTCATTTTTTTCTATCACGTAAGGATTTTTTACAAATCGGGAAGAATAAAACTCTTACTTAGATCAAATTACTATTTCGTTTACCACTACAATAAACATTTTTATTATTATGTTTGTTAATAAAAATACAAACAAACTGAAGAAAAGGGAAGAACATTGATGTCAAACGAATATGCATCCTCATTCGTCCTGATTGTTTTTGTGAAATCTACGTCTTTTAGTCTCAAAACTACGTGTTGTGGTCTCTTTTTTTATGTATTGCGTTATGACGTTTTATGAAAAGTCTGTACGTGATGGAGAAAAATGGATATGGTTTTCGGATTCAACGTACAGGAATTACTGTAGAACATGTAAATATTTCAAGACAATAAAACCATCGCAGGCCGATGTAATGACGAAATAAATTACTTAAGGTGTTACAAGATGAATTTATAGGACCAGAATATATAGTTTACTCCATACCAATATTAACTGGACAGTGTAAAAAAATTACTTTCTCGGATATAAGTAACAGTTTCAGCTCACTTTTTGAAACTTTTGTACAAAACGTTTTAAATTACTGTAACTCCAACTTTTCACATTGGCGGCATCAGTTACGTGACTGTTTTTCGAGTTGTAATGATCCTGCCGGTTTACTGATATTTTTCACGCACGTCTTAAAACTAGTGTTTTGAAGTCAGTCGTAAATACGCTTGTATCAAAATTTAAAACGAATTTACTTTAATTCTTATATAGAATTGTTATACAAGTTGAGTCTGTTTTGACTCATTATTTTTATAGTTATTTCGAATTTTCCAACGAGTTGGGTTTATTTTGACTCATTGTTTCTCAGTTATATCGAAGTTTTCAATATAAGAAGCTTTGTCTTGTTATTCTTAAGTTATAAACATTTTAAAACGAGTCTGCTTTGACTCATTATTCCTCCGTCAATGGTAAATACAATTCTTCAGAAAAGACCTCAGTATTTCAATATAACGAAGATAGAAACCATTTAAAAAGTTGATTTTGGTTTTGTTTAAAATGTAACCTTCCTGTTTCATATTAAAAGTTGCTTCAATTTCAGCTTATTACATTAAATATATCAAACATTTAAGGTAGATTTTACGCAGAAGAACCATAATTTGTACAAACCCGTATACCAGTTGCATTAGGCTTAGCTGTTTCTCAACCAAGCAACTTAACGTTAAAAGATAGAAGACTGTTAGATTTAAAGTTATGGTAACTTGTAAACCAAATATTTGTTGGGTCATCTAGTTTAAGTCAAATACCAGGCCTTTTAAGTGTTAACTAAACTATTGCTTTACATCTGGAAAGCCCAGAATGCTGTTATAGTTATATAACATATATATATAGTTATATATTAATATATTAATAGTTATATATTATAGTTGTAAACAGCAGTCATGATGAAATAAAATTATGTTCCTAGGAATATGATTTGTAATAATGCCGAATTCATATATGCTGTTTATGAATAAATGAAAACATTCTAGTAATTTTCTATACTGTAAAAAAAAAGAACTAAAATCAATCCAGAATTTACTCTGTCCGGTTGGTATTTCTGTATCCTCAGATTACAGTGTGGTCAACAGTGATGGTAATTTTATGAACCAATGAGAGGTATCTGTATTTTTCCAATGAAATTTTTAATTCTTCGATATAAGACAATACAGATTTGAGAAGTCTGTTACTCCAATATTCATAGATTAAAATCTAACAGTCAAAAGGGAACTGCTGTGTTGTATTTTGAGCCTTGCGAAATGAAATGAAACACATTAAAATAATTAAATTCAAATTATTATTACATTTCTTAAACTTTCTTTTTTTTTTTTTGGTCAGAAAAGTAACGCACTTTTTTCTTGAAGGTTATCAATCAAACTTAGAATCAGAGGCGTCGTTTTTGTAGGATTTCTAAAACATAACTTACGAAGAATCCTCCACAATAAGAATCTGAAAGAAAAAAAAACTTGTTGAAGTAACATCTTATATATCTTAAATGTGACAAATAGCAACACAAAGTTAATTACATAACACATTTTTTTTCAACTAAAATATGTTCCAGTTTAACAGTACGATATCATTTTAGCAGTTTGCCCAATAGGTGGATATTTATCAGAGAAAAATTACTAGTATATCAAAAATTGAAATTCTTGAAAACAAGTTTTCACCAAATTTACATGTGTAATCCATTTTAATATTATTTATTAGTCCCCCGGTGGGTTAGCGGTAAATCTACGGATTTATAATGCTAAAATCCAAGGTTTGATTCCCCGCGGTGGATACAGCAGATAGCCCAATGTGACTTTACTCTATAATAACCAAATGAATTATTATTGGAGATAGCTTTGACCCGTTTTGGGGGTCGTCATCAGGCTTAATGAACAATAATTGGTTACGTTTACTATGTGTTTTTAATTTATTATTTTCTGATATCCCTCTAAATGCACAATCTGTGTTATCTAATATTACTATAACATCTATTTTTTTTCAACAATACCAATACGTTAGCATTGTTCGTTTAAACTTTTACAATTACACCTATACGTTAATATTGTTCATTAAGCCTCATAACGGTTATCGGAGCGGGTCGAAAGCTACCTCCAATAATAATAAAGAAATATATACATGAATGTGGTGACAACTTGTTTAACAATTTTCATTCTGATTTAATATTACCCTCATCACGAAACGATAACTCTTCAAGATTATAGGTATCTAGTCTAGTCTTGAAAAAACTGAAGTGTGTTGATGTTGTCCTTACGACACAATTATTTTTTTATTCTGTAGTTACAAGGAACTTTCAAATTGACCTTTAATACCTGAACTCCAAACGACTCGGATAAATTCGAGCAAATCTTAGTGTTCACATTATTTGTTCTTTGGCAAAGTACACTGATGTCGTGAAGATTTGTTAAAGCATTAGGCATTATAATGTGAAAGTTTCTACTATTTGTTACCAAAACTTACACACATAATTATAGTCAGACATATTTTTGAATTGTGTTTATGTAATTAAGATTAATAATATGCTTTTTTACATAAATGATTTTATATATCTAGCTACAATGTTTTCTGGAACCTTTCAATGCTTTCAAAACAATTATACGTTATGAATATTATACATATTTATCACAATTAAAAATTTCCCTTACGATATAAATAGCAGTTGTTTATTTTAATTAAAAAGGTATATTTAATATATAAAGAACAACTGTGTGTTACAAGTAAATAATTATATTTAAAATATAAAGATTCCAAATTTAACCCCACACACACAGGCATTTTCAGTCGAGACTTCCCCGACGAAAGAGGTCGCCATCGTCGAGAGCCATTGGAGAACGTTTAGCAGTGTCAATGGGCCGAGAGTATTCATAGGGCAAGAAAGGTTTGGTGAGGTCGGTATGGTCTTCAGTGCTCATGTCCAGCAACTAAAATATAACGAAAACGCTTTTTTTAATAATAGAAAGTGGGCTTCTAAATGTTTTTGGTACCCAGCACTCTATTAACCAAAAAGTTTGGATCAATGCGCCCATAATATATCATAACAAGTTACTTTTTGAATTTCGCGCAAAGCTACACGAGGGCTATCTGCGCTAGCCGTCCCTAATTTAGTAGTATAAGACTAGAGGGAAGGCAGCAAGTCATCGCCACCCACCGCCAACTCTTGGGCTACTCTTTTACTAACGAATATAGGGATTGACCGTCACATTATAACGCCCCCACGACTGAAATGGCGAGCATGTTTGGTGTAACGGGGATTCGAACCCGCGACCCTCAGATTGCGAGTCGAACACCCTAACCACCTGGCCATGCCGGGCCCTTTCAGCATAGAGAAAATAATTATTATGACAAAATTTAATGTACTTTAGTCACTATTTAGGGTTAGCATATCAAACAACTTTTATATGAAAAGAAAAAACCTCCAAACTACTAAATATAGCTACCTAATGACACATCGATATTTTCATCTGTGTAAGCTACAGGTACCATAAAGTATCTCTCTATATATATACTGTAGTCTATCATAGTAATCTTACTGTCCAAATATTCTAAAACTATCTATTAACGTTTCCAAGTGCGCTTAAGCCTTAAGGTCATATGTGTAATACTAATAATATAATTAAAAATAAAATGATGCAAAGTTACATCCAGATGTTTAGACAAGCTATCAACAAAAATCCTTAAATAATTTGCTCAGTTTTGATCTTCGTTAATCACAATCGTTTTACAAAAGGCAGCAAAATTACTTACGCTATCAACTCGCATACTTTGTTTGATTTTAGGCACAAAGCTACACAAAAGATTTTGTGCTCTTCCCACCATGGGTATCGCAACCTGATTTTTAAGGACGCAAGCTCTCAGACCGCTGAGCCGCCTGGGGTAGGGTCAGTTTACGCAGTGCAGAGAATTTTTTTTTTTTTTCACTGACGTTCTGAAATATAATCCATAATTTCAAGTTATTTGATATTTTACAGCTTCAACACAGCGACCTCTAACACTTCGTTTTTGACTGCGCACGAGGAAGGAATAATTTTTCTTTAACGAATGCGTGTAATTATTTAAAAAAACTGAAAAAAGTAGTTCAAGTAAAAAAAACAAAACAAACTATATCCTTACCAGCCTGAAGGATATTCTTCTTAATTTGTATTTTTTCTTCAAATGAGAAATATTGATGTTTAAACAGAAGAGCCCCCCCCCCTCCCAGTGGCACAGCGGTATGTCTGCAGACTTACAACGCTAAAATCCGGGATACGATACCCGTGGTGGGCAGAGCACATTTAGCCCTTTGTGTAGCTTTGTGCTTAACTACAAAACAATCTTCGACATCCTTGGTGGGCAGAGCACATATAGCCCTTTGTGTAGCTTTGTGCTTAACTACAAAACAATCTTCGACATCCTTGGTGGGCAGAGCACATATAGCCCTTTGTGTAGCTTTGTGCTTAACTACAAAACAATCTTCGACATCCTTGGTGGGCAGAGCACATATAGCCCTTTGTGTAAAACTATAAAACAATCAATAAATCAATCAACTTTTCGAAAAATTCATTTACGTAACATGAGGAAATTACCAAGCAAGACGTAAACTGCCTATAAAGATAAAACAAGTATTTACTTACTTCTACGTTTATGAAAACCGGATGGAGCAAGTTAAAGAAACATACTCACCATTCTTAAGATGTCTTTTATTTGCTCTCTCCTGGTCTGGTCAGCCCTTGTGGGCAGATAACGAGCATGAGCCAGCCACGAGCTGGTTAATGTTAGAATCACGAGAACGAGAATGGTAGAACGGAACACTGTAAGGGAAAAAAAAAGTTATTGAGACCAATTAACTCCCTACGTAAACACAGTTCTATTCAGTAGGTAGAAAAAAATTGTGTTAAAACTTAAATTCTATGTAAGCACGGCCCAATTCACGTAAGCTGGCAAGACATGCGATACCTGAGCTAAAATGCTAGTTTTGTGTTAGAGGTTTGATCATTTGCAATTTCAACCAGCATACAAGTCATAAAAAAAGCTAACATCACCTTAATTTTTTTTTGCACTTTAGTGATCTACAAACATTAATCCCACACACTTAAGATTTGGATTAAAGTAAGTAACAAATATTCTATTGGTAGGCTAATAGTCTCAAATATATGAGTCGATGTTTTATCGCTAAGAATTTTAGAAAAGCGAGCTATAAGAGATTGTACTGACTTTTACTTTCATTAGTGATTTGCAATATCTTAATAACATAAAGTTCACCTTTCCGTCATAATAGTATACATCATTCAAAATCAGGAAATATATATTAAAAATTAATCTAAGCCTCAGGTATGTTTTACGGTTCAGAAGTTTGACATTAAGTCCGATAAGAATTCCAGTAGAACTTCACTGTCTCTCTCTCCCTTTTTTTTTTTTATAAATTTGAATTTAAAAGTCTGGCTAGTGCGTATGCCGATCATATTTAGGTTAAATACCTCACTGATATCATTATAATATCAGTGCTTGAAATGGGGTAGTACTTGTAAGTATGCTTGGTTTGGGTTTCGCGCAAAGCTACACTAGGGCTATCTGCGCTAGCTGTCCCTAATTTAACGGTGTAAGGCTAGAGGGAAGATAGCTGATCATCACCACCCACCGCCAACTTTTGGGCTACTATTTTATTAACGAATAGTGTGATTGATCGTAATATTATAATGCCCCCACGGCTGAAAGGGTGAGCATATTCGGTGGGACGGGGATTTAAGACTAATATGAATATTCAAGATATGTAAGTATGCAATACCGTCACTTTTATATTTGAAAAGGCACTTTTACTTTGCCCCTTTATCCTACCTTTATGCGTATCAGCACTTTTACTTTGCCCCCTTTATCCTACCTTTATGCGTATTAGCACTTTTACTTTGCCCCTTTATCCTACCTTTATGCGTATTAGCACTTTTACTTTGCCCCTTTATCCTACCTTTATGCGTATCAGCACTTTTACTTTGCCCCTTTATCCTACCTTTATGCGTATTAGCACTTTTACTTTGTCCCTTTATCCTACCTTTATGCGTATTAGCACTTTTAGTTTGCCCCCTTTATCTTACCTTTATGCGTATTAGCACTTTTTTGCCATTTCAAACACTGTAAAATATAATTGATTAAATTTTCAGAAACTCAAACATGAAAAAAAAAAAACAATTAAGTTTTAAAGGCTTGAGTTTTTCATGATTTTCTACCACCAGTAACACTCAAGTATGAATTTCAAAATCACGAAAATTAACGTACACATTTGTCACGTTTAAGGGGCTTGCTTAACTTGGATTTCAAATGTTGCAATGATATAAAAGAACAGATCTAAAGTATATTGTCTGATATACATTCGATGTTTGTTTCCGCAGAGTCTCGGCAACACTAATAAAACAAAAGGAACACGATCCCCCCTCCCTCGTCGCCACGGGATAAATTATGCATATATCACACTGCAGTGTTTCAAATACGACACTGATCCTAAATATTCCCACTCATTAGATTAACTCGTACAGAAATAATCCAGTGTTATACAATTTAAAGGTTGGCTAGATGTACGTATTGTGTCACGTTACTAGCATCTAGCCTCGTTAACAGAGTTATTGTGTCCCATCAATGAAAGTATGATGTTGCCCCCCAGTGGCACAGCGGAATGTCTGCGAACTTACAACGCTAAAAACCGGGTTTCGATACCCGTGGTGGGCAGAGCACAGATAGCCCATTGTGTAGCTTTGTGCTTAACTACAAAAACAAACTATGATGTCAGGATCTATTCTCGCTAACGGTAGACGCTGTTGGTATATTAGTGACATCTTTATCATGAAAAAGAATATTATACCTTTTTTTTTAGGAAGAAATAGAATAAAATGGAATTCTAGATTTTTCTCATACCTAAAGATAAACAGCATTATTATAATAAATTCATTGTAATAAAGCAGTACAATGAGTGGTTTGTAAAGAAACTAATTAAGTTTTGTTTGGAATTAAGCACAAAGCTACACAATGGGCTATATGTGCTTTGCTCACCACGGGTATCGAAACCCGATTTCTAGCGTTGTAAGTCCGCAGACATACCGCTGTGCCACTGGGGGGGGGGCAATTAATTAAGTAATTACTACATTTCGTTTATTGTTTGCTGAGTAAAAATTTCACCCCCTTGATCAGGAAACCTTTAGCTCAAATATTATTATTATTAAATACTTAAATACTATTACTGTGTATTGTGGATTGAAAAAATCTCAACTACATACTTAAAATATCTTCTGTGATCTTTCTTTAATATGTATCCGTACGCAATCGACTACATCGTCTATGACAAAGTTAAGCTCTTGTGATTGGTAAAATTACAGGAAACTGGAAATACGAACGACGTTCGTTTTAGTAGACTACTCCATGCTGTACACATACGGAATTATGGGTAAAATAAGCTCACTATCAAGGTTCGAGGAGACTAATACAGCTAATAACCATTCCGACTGTATCAAAGCATAAATATTTAAGTACTCTGCCAACAGTTGGAAGATGGCTATCGCTCCTGATTTTCTTCTTCTTTTCCATAGCGTGCTAGTTGTAACGACAGGGCCCGGCATGGCCAGGTGGTTAAGGCACTCGACTCGCAGTCTGAGGGTCGCGGGTTCGAATCCCTGTCACACCAAACATGCTCGCCCTTTCAACCGTGGGGGCGTTATAATGTAACGGTCAATCCCACTATTCGTTGGTAAAAGAGTAGCCCAAGAATTGGTGGTGGGTGGTGATGACTAGCTGCCTTCCCTCTAGTCTGCTAAATTAGGAACGGCTAGCGCAGATAGCCTTCGTGTAGCTTTGCGCGAAATTCAAGAACAAACAAACAATATAACGATAGCGATACGTTTTGTAGTAGACCAGTATAACATAGTAAAAGACAATTTTCTAAATAAGGTTTGTGATCAATGCAATTGAGGTAAATTAGAAGTTAAGATTAGACTGCTATTCCATAAATTGGACTTTTATAATGATAGTTTTAGTTTACAAACATTAAATATGTATTTGCTACATGTTACATCACAATATTCCTGGTATGATAGGATGTAGGGAAAGAAATGGTCAATTTCAAGTTTCGGATAATGTTTATTTTTCAAATTCACTTAAGCCTTCCTCGAAATAGGCAGAGAAAACCGAAATGATGCTTTATCCTGATCTGAGGCACTAAACCCACGGAAGCTTCTGACAAGTGTACCAGAACGCCGAGTTTCAAAATCTAATTATGCGATGCCAGCTCGGCCAACATCCAAAGGTTACTGGAGTTTCCAGATTGTATTGAATCAAATCTCCAGTATATTAGATTAAAGAACAAACTAGGGAGTGATTAAAATCTATGTACTAAAGCAGACGCCCAAAATATGTTTCAGGTTAGATTTTGGAGAGCTTTAATTTTGCAACATGGTTTTAGGTGTTTCCAATCTTTTAGATTTGATGTTACACAAATAGTAGTATTTTATATGTAGATATATCATATGTTTAATGAGTGTACGAGTAGGACTTAACTTTAATTCACTGCACGATATTTTGTCACAAAAACAAACTACGTAGAATAGACGGAGAAGTATATTTAATTCGTGTTAGAAGACTCTAGGTGTCTTCTTCTAAACAGATGCTGATTGGTTGAATTCCAAGTGTTAACTTTGGTGTTACCATTTTTGTGCAAGAGTTATATAAAATCGTATTTTTGGCGCAAGGGTTAAATTGCTTTTGTTTGTTTAAAATTAAGGACAAACCTACACAATGGGCTATCTGTGCTCTGCCCACCACGGGTATCGAAACCCGGTTTCTAGCTTTGTAAGTCCGCAGACATACCGCTGTGCCACTGGAGGGAAGGTTGAATTTTGAATTGCATTTTTAAAGTATTCTTTCAGATGTAGCCGATGAAACGAATAGCTATAACTCGGTATAGTTAGTATCAGAAACATTACTTACTCAATCGGGCTTGTATTTTCGTAAACAATTTTATGATATGGTTGTTTATTGCCATTCGTTTGACTAGCCTGTAATGTGGAATCAAACAAACCCAGAAATTAAACCCTTGGTAACGTCTTTATATATATATATATATATAGGTCTATCTTTCGAAAGAACTAACATACAAGTTCATGTTTCGCAACCTGTCCAATATCGTGAATAATCAAATAAAATTACTGTAAGGGAAATATTGTGTTATTTTTCTTTTCATCAATTTTAACCATTTTCTTGGAATAGTTAAATTATAAATTATAGAAAAGTTTCTATGTAAAATATGATTAGGAAAAACAAACAAAAGATCAGTAGGCATGTTAAACTTTTAGCAATTTGATTTTGAATATATTCTTCATGCGAGGCGCGAGTTTAGAGAGAGAAGCTCCAGAAGTTTTTGATTGATCAAAATCTAAAATGAATATGAACACTGAAAAATAAAGTTCTTCATTTTATTCAAGGGCCTAATGTTATTAAGTGTAATGTTGTATTTTATAGATGTTCTCCACTTGTGCTTAATCTCGATAAATACGAATATTCTCTCTCTATATATATCTCACTTCCAATTTATCAATCATAGAAGATATTAGTTTAGATAACCAATCAGTTGTCGAATAAATAACTTTAAAAAAAAGGTTCATATATCAACGAACTATGAACAAAATGTTAGTCTAAATAAGAATGATCTTCGAGAGTGGCGTCATGAGCGATAAGCACGGATTATAAAAGAGAACATATTTTTAAATCATTACTAAAAAAAAAAAAGGGTGCTTGTTAGTTGGTGTGTTATTAGATCCTGGAAACTTGCCAGTGTGAATACTTTATGGGAAAAGTTAAGCAGTCTCACTGGAAAAATTAAACGGCAGTCTCATCCAGGCATGTCCCACCAACAAAGCTAAGCAGTCTTAGATATATACGTCTTGTGCGATAAGCCTACTTACCTTCTTCGCTGTCTAATAGGTAAAAAACTTGTTTAACGAACAAGTTTAGCAGTCTCACAGGCAGACTTCTCGGGAGAGATGCATTCTTACAACATGTATAATTGGAAAAGTTAAGCAGTCTTGTAACACGTTTCACTGGAAAATCTAAGTAATTCCATAGCTGAGTACGGATTTGAATACACGCATATATCGTTTTCAATATAGGACAGACTTATTGAAACGTCATAAATACATCTTGAGATGATGTATCTTGCTGACAAATGATGGTAGCTACTGTATTATATATATATAGATGTATCTCTAGATTGTATGTGTGATGAGTAGTCCACACTTGTAATGGAACCATTTGAGTATTGACGCGTACTTGTTACACGACTACCTAAATTAATTATCCCTCCTACAATATAACGAATGACTTTACTTAGATTACCATTAATAGGCCTGAAATATTATTCAGTTACTATAAGATATTTAAATAATAATACGTCCTAATTTACTTTCTCTCCTACGGTGAAGTTATTCATAACGTCAAAATGTAGTTAATTGTACGAATCACTAACTACAGGGAAATTTCCAAATTGCTGATTGGTTCGTTATTCCTTATTACGAAACACACTTTCATTCGCCACCCAGTGATCAATTCAATCAGTATTCAAAACAGATCATTAGTCAAAACTGGATAATATTATAAGTTATTAGCCTTTTGCACTAACTTGTATTGATAAACTTAACCCAGACGATTTAATTATTCAAACAATGTTTAAAACAAATAATTAAAATAAATGAATTTTCACGCATAAGTTTGTTTGTTTGTTTTCAATTTCGTGCGAAACTACACGAGGGCTATTATCTTAGGAGATAATTATTTTAAATCAAAATAACTGCCAAGAACAATAACACTTAGCTTCTTTCTGTCACTAGGGTTAAAAAGAAGGGAGAGAGAGCGTCACGTGAGATTCGAACTTCGTGTTTTGGGAGCCATTTTGTAACCTTTCCTTGTAAAAGACGTTTCACTGTGTAGCTTTGTTCAGCACTTCCAACAGTAGAAACTAGTATTAAAAGTTGGGGGAAATGAAGATACCTCGTTAACTAACAGGACTTTGTTCCATCTGAAACTCGGTTCATTGTGAATAATAGTGCAAGGTATGAATCGATATCAATTATATCAACCTTGCAACGAAAACTGTTCATTAAAACCTGTGATATGGTGAAGGCACAGTAAAGTTCAGATGTAATTTAAATGCTATCATTCTAGTGTAAATATATAAAGAAACGCTAGCCATAAAATCTTTACTCCATAATTGTGACACGTGCGGCTCGAGTAAAAAATAAAAAACAATATTATAGTATTGCAACGTTTGTAGCTTCTTTCACTGTTTATAAGCAACGTTTTTTCCTTCACGAGTGTTTTTTTTTGTAGTTGTAAAGGAGAGTTTTTGCCTATTTAATGTCCTCCGATGGGACAACGGATTTACAGGATTTAGGATTTACAGCGCTAAAATCAGAGGTTCGATTTCTCTCGGTGGACACAGCAGATAACTCGACGTGGCTCTGCTATAAGAACACACACACATACTACTTTTAAGTAAATCAAAGCCCCACAGTAGCACAGCGGTATGTCTGCGGACTTACAACGCTAAAATCTGGGTTTCGATACCCGTGGTGGGCAGAGCACAGATAGCCCATTGTGTAGCTTTGTGCTTAATTACAAACAAACAGTAAATCAAAAAAAGGGCATAAAAACGATTTTTAATGTGCTATGTTGTATTCCTTTCTTCTTCTAGTATTGCTATTTCTCATTTTACGTGTAATAATATATATGTGCTCTGCAAGAATGCACCAGTCCTTCGATATCTACAAAATATATCCATGATCACCTCTCTATTTTTATAATATTAAGATAGAAATTAGCGTACATCTCAACCTAACTAGACTTATGATGGTCTAATGTTACACGTCATAACTTTGTGTAATTTACTAATGTGTATTTCGTGTGTGTGTGTGTTTATTTTTTCTCGACACTAATATGAAATTGCTTGACGCCCCTTTTGAGAAGCGGACCCTCCTTTTCCAAACATGAATTTACTAATGTGTATTTCGTGTGTGTGTGTGTTTATTTTTTCTCGACACTAATATGAAATTGCTTGACGCCCCTTTTGAGAAGCGGATCCTCCTTTTCCAAACATGAATTTACTAATGTGTATTTCGTGTGTGTTTTTTCTCGACGCTAATATGAAATTGCTTGACGCCCCTTTTGAGAAGCGGATCCTCCTTTTCCAAACATGAATTTACTAATGTATATTTCGTAATTTCCATTTCATCCTTGAAGAAATAAAATATTTCTTTCGTAAACGCTTCTGTTAGTTTTTTTTTAGTTGTGATTTATGTATTGTTCTGACCTACAAGAAAAGTTAAATGGATGGTTTATGACATAACATATCAGGTCAATAGCTACGCTACTCTACAGAAACTGCATGCAATAAGTCAAGGTGGAGAATTTTGTGAGAGAAGATCTTGAATCCTGCTAGTTAAGGTTTGGCTGAACACCCGTCTCATTGCGACTCATTGGTACCAAGTTCGATCCCTTGCATTACGTCTTTAAATTTCGAATCATTACAATAGGAATAAAGATTGGTTGGCGTTAAATATTCTAATAAATCCGCTTTAAATATAAAGATATTCCCTGTTAAAAGAGGAGAAGAAGAAGAAAAAACCATAACTGTCAAAACTATTTTTTGTAAGAACTAGTATAAAAGTTGACCGGCGTGGACCTTACAGTCATTTTTGTGGTAATAGAAACACATTTTTCTAGTTCGGATTATCCAAAGATATGAGAATCAGAAGTGATAAATACGTGATATTTTTACAATGAACCTGCTTGAAAAAATGTACACTACTGAGCACAGTAATATTAACAAACAATGCAATTTCTCAAAGTATCTCGATTTTGGAGGTCGCCCATCAATAGCACGCGTAGCTCGAGCAACTCTTGGTATTCTAAATAGCACATACTTTAAGAATATCATTAAACTGATTCATACAGGTGAAAAAACCTTAAAATTGATAGTATTGGGGAATGTTTCTTATATATATATATTGCATTGGCTTTGTTACTTTACTACAAAAAATTCTCAAGAACTTTAAGTTGTAAAATAAGAGATGAACTTACCCATCTTTAAGAACTGTATGTTGTAAAATAAGAGATGAACTTACCCATCTTTAGGAACTTTAAGTTGTAAAATAAGAGATGAACTTACCCATCTTTAGGAACTTTAAGTTGTAAAATAAGAGATGAACTTACCCATCTTTAGGAACTGTATGTTGTAAAATAAGAGATGAACTTACCCATCTTTAAGAACTGTATGTTGTAAAATAAGAGATGAACTTACCCATCTTTAAGAACTGTATGTTGTAAAATAAGAG